TGGTTAAGTCTAATTGAAAAAAGACACGCTGATATGCGTTAGCAATTTTATGTACAATATGTACACACATTTTATGAAGAATAAATTTACAGTTAGATAATATTTAAGTCCAGTTTGAACATAAAAGTAAACATAATTAAATTAAAAATTGTGAGATTATACCCAAAAAACTTTAATCTGTACAATTAGAAATAAAATATCTTCATGATTAAGTAAATACATATAAAAAAAAGTTTGATCATAAATTAACAATTTTAAAGTTGATACTAAGTCATACAATAATAGAGACAGTCATGACAAACACATTTTAAATCCATTAATTAATAAAATGGTTTTGTTATTGGAATTTAATTTCATTGGTTTCCTTTTGAATTTCTTCATTGAGTACTTTGAATTAAATAATTTCCAAAATTAAAATAAATGTATTTCCTATATCATCATATTTGGATTGATGATATGTTTATTAGTACTACTCTGGGTGGGTGGATTTTTTTATGATTTTAAAACTGTTGATAATTGATATTTTTATATTTAAAAGAATTGTCAATGAAACTACTTTTTTAAGTATGAACCTCTCTAAGGAATTAGGAGAGAGCAGGTTAAGAAAACCTTACGATTCTGTAAGTAGGAGGAAGGAAGGGGATCAAAACTTGAAAATATCATTTACCTCTAGCCATAATAACTTTGAAAGTTATTACTACTTTTTAATGAAATGAGCAAAGTAACAGTTTTTTCTTTCTTCATTTGAATAATTATTGGGGATTAATGTTTTAAAAGTAAAGAAGTGCCTGCCTTAAATAGTCCAAAAATAATGACAGAAACAGCCAAGCAAATATGTAATACTATTTATACATTTCGTCTATGCGTAGTTCACCTGTGGTTTATGCTCTTTTCAAGTTTATTTCATTAGTCGGTTAAATGATCGAGGTGAATTGAGGTTGTCATCAGTTATTATAAGACAAGAAGTAAAGCATATGTTGAAACACGTGTTGACGTTCCCGGCCACGTGCCGTTTCCCACAACACTTGCTCCAGCCACTCGACAATCACTGAACTGCACAGATTCGAGGGTTGATATTACTCCATTGCGCTGGTTGGCGAATGCCAGCTGCTCGGTCCGGAATCCCCCGGAAATCTCGCAGGTGCTTTCAATCAGGTCAATATTGTCCTCGACTTATCAATAGTCAGAAAAGATCAAATCTTCAAGATTAATTAAATCATTTGATCTGATAACGAACGGTTTTTGATAAAAGATCTCATATGCAATCAAAATGTTCTGGATATGTGTAATAGCGAACTGTAGGTGAATTGAACAATCTAAACTTTGAATTATCAATTATTGTAACATCGTACATGACATTGTTTTCTGTACTAAATTCTTGGGTAGTACATACTATAAATGGGAACAGATGAAGTTTTGATTGTGTGTAATCCGTTATTTTATACAATTCCTAGGAAATATACATAATTCCTAAAATCGCCAGGAAATGTGTGAAATAATTTATGTTAGACACATTTCCTAGGAAATCTATACATTTCTATACATTGAAGATGTCAAAGGGTACGAGGGGATGGAGGAGCGAGGGGAGGGTATTGCGTCCAATCAGTCGATCGCACTAGAGCCGCGTAAACACAGATAGATAGTTTTATACATTTCCTAGTACAATATCGGATTTTCATACAATTTCTAGGAAATGTATACATTTACTATTAAAAAGTCTTTGAATCTTCGGAATTGTGTACATTTCCTAGGAATTGTATTTAATTCTTTCAAAGATTTAAAAAGGAGTATGGTTGCAGAGAAATACGAAATTATACAAACAAAGTACAATTCCACTACGAGGAGTTGTTTGACAAGAATTAGAAAATTAGCTTCTCATAAAAGGCACAATTAGAAGCTAAAAAGTGACCAAATCCCTTTTTCTACGAAAATGCTTTCCCATCAGGTGTGAGCTGCGCGCTAAATTAAAACGTATATAAACGATTAATATATATAACTACGAAGCTATTTTCAAAATTCTTCAGAAGTTATAAAAAATTGGATATTAAACTCTTAAATTTCAATTCTCTTGATGGTGAGGTATTTTAGTTTAGAAAAGCACTTGACCTTCATCTATTTTAACATTTACGTTTTTAGTTGGATATCTATTTATGCAACACTGTATTCTTCTAATAAACTTATAAACTTATAAAAATTTGCAGTTTAACTTACCTATATGTATACGCAATGGTTAATGCAATTTATCCGGGCTGAACAACTGAATTAGAATATAATCTCTGAAAGCTCCATTAGCATTGGGGCGGGGTGGTACCCTCCATATTTATTTTGAAACGCTATAGTGATAGTTTAATACAGGGCTGAACTCCTGTTTATTCTATGTATTTGCAAAAACCGTTGTTATAAATAAACTAGCGACCCGCCTCAGTTTCGCACGGGTGCAATGCTGATACTAAATATACTACAGAATGTCTTTATATACAACATTTACAGCTTTTTTGTTAAAAGACAATAGGTACAAACCGGCCGGTACCACCGCAACCGCTATGTCCCTGCATTTTAAATCTGTAATGTCTTCAAAAATATTCATTTATATTACATGCTGTAAAGGGCCATATTGATCTATATTAATGTATTTATAAGTACTTAATTGGATAAGGATTAATACTGTATTGCTTAAAATCGCTTCGTAAATAAAAAGTAAAGGATAAAAAATGGTTATTTTGGGTTATCTCTAAGAGATAGACATATACCATCGCGGACTTTTTTGTAGACATTTTTAAGGTGTACAATACTGTAGTACATTATTTTGATCTACCTCGTAGGTTTCAGCCAGCGTTTGCAATGTAAGCGCAAAAAAATATGATTATTTAAGACATCACATTACAAACCTCTAAAATTATCAGTGTTTCCCTACTATATTATGCATGTATTATACATATAAACCTTCCTCTTGAATTACTCTATCTATTAAAAAAAATCATCAAAATCCGTTGCTTAGTTTTAAAGATCTAAGCATATATAGGGACAGACAGCGGGAAGCGACTTTGTTTTATACTATGTAGTGATATGGCCCGAGTACCCGGACAATGACGACGGATACCCGGCAGTGCCTAGTAATTTTACCAGACAAAAAAGGAAAAAACAAAACCATTTTTAAAAGATTTTATATTAAAAAATGTGCAGACAGCTGTAATTATTATTTTCTTTTAATTTGGGGTCACCAAAATTTTTCTGCTTATTATAAACCATGTTAGTTTACTATATCTACAATTTTATTACCGATTATGGGTAAAAAAAATTATGTACTAAAGGGAGAACATGTGAACACAGTGACTAAACTGCTTCGAATAAATTCTAATACGTCCCTGCCAAGTCTGGACCGCGAGGGATGAAATAATACGGGGTGTCCGACAGGATGGCACAACCACCCCTTGTGGGTTGGGTAGTGGGTGGTGGTTAAAGTGATTGAGAATCAGCAACACCTTGCTAGTTGATCCTTAACAACCTGTTAACCACAACTTAATCGACTGTTGTGCTCCAGACTACCAACAACCTTATATCCACAATTTCCAGTATGATTTTCAAGGGTGCCCTGTAGATAATTGTCACAGTAAAATAAAATTGACAACAATATCGTTAATCATTCTCATATATCTACGGACTTTCGTAGTACAATGTTTTCAGTTGATTCTTACAGTTCGTGCGTGAAAAGTATTTTCCAGCCGACAGCTACTGTGGAGGACGTGACAGGAACGTCTGCACTTCTGGTACCCGGTAGGGTGACCGCCTCGACGTATATTCCTCAAGGAGCCATGTCTTTACCGATAAAACCAGAAAACATCAAAGGTTCTCCCGATATAGTACAGGTAGGATTTACTACATGTGTATATGTTAGAGTTTATCAAAAGTTAAAAATCGGTTATCAGAGTAAGAGAAACGTTAGATAGGTTTTTCAGCTCTATAAATTGTATTTATTATTTTATACAGGGCAGGTGTAGTAAGTAAATTAATCAATATCTCTAGGAAGAGACACCATTGAATTATAATTTTTGTTATTAACTACCTAAAAGTTATTAATCAAGTCTGTTATTAAATTACTTTAATGTAATAATCTTTATTGTTTTTAATTATTCTATTTCATTCCTTTGGGATGATTAGGGATAGCGTATGGAATTAATCAAAACAATGTAGGACTATAGTAACTCAAAAAGCACCTGCTCCTTGTATAAGAAGTTTAAATATATAAAGGTCGCTTGTACAAATGTGAAATAATAACTTTAAATCTATGTGAAAACTTCTAGAGTTGGACAATGTACAATCAAGCAGTTCTATTTACGGAAGAATCTTATATACAGGGTGTCCCGAGCAAGCGAGTTTCTTTAATAACTGTTTAATAGTTGAAGATATAAAAAAAAGTTTCTTACAAAAGTGGTACCATATAAGTATCTTCATATCTTCATATTCTAAAATTGTTTTGATAATACACAGTGTCTCATTTTTCCTGGAGGCAACCTATCTTCATTTCTTTAAGTAGAATTCCTCATTTATTATGGCATTTTTGAATTCGTCGTTAAATTTAAATACCACTTTGTTAACCATACATTATACAAAATTAGATAATATCCAGATTAACTGCACTTTACCCAAATGCTGAACACCTAAATATACCATCAGATTCTGTTTCATTCCAAGCAATAAAATTTTATACATTTTACTTGCCTCTGTACTGAATTTTCAACAGTAAAAGAAGAAAATACATTTAAATACAAAACCAAAAATTTCTAAACTTAACGAGAACAGCAGGGAAACTTACATCTAAATTTAACCATTATCTACTTAGGTAAAAGACAGTAATAAAAATATTCAAACATGTTACTTGTCTTTGTACTAAATTTTCAACTGTAAAAGAAGGAAATACATCTAAATAAAAAACCAAAAATTTCTAAATTTAACGAGAACAGCAGCTAAACTTACATCTAAATTTAACCATTAATCATTTTTCGCTAATTTATAATAATTAGCACAGTCCTATGTACAAAATGATACGAAAACAAAACAAAGATAACGGAAAATATATTTGATTAAAGAGACCATTTCTAAACAACACAAGCCGGATTATTTCCGTAAAATTTTCTGTACTGTGGTACAAATTCTGTTTCAATAGTTTCTGCCATTGATAGTGAAACCTTCAACCTGTTTCCAAAATATTCAGTTTTTTTATGCCCTGGTTTGTGAACCAAAAAGCCATCGCTGAGTATGTTAAATTTGTATCCTAGGAGACATAACGCAAACGCCTAAAAATTTGGGTTTACTTTCATCTGGCAATTAATCAATATACTGCATTGTAATACACATACAAAACAAAGTGTAGCTACATTCCGAAAACCAACCGATCCTAGTAAAATAACTTCAAAACAGGTGGTCTTCAGATTTTTCAACTAAACAAGATCTGAACGATAATAATGAAATTATTGATAAAATTACAGCAACAACGAAAAATTATCAAAATTTTACATAAGTAGGTATTTTTAAATAACGTAACTTTCTCAAAAATGATTGTATCTCTATCTTTTTCCTGTTATTTTGAAAGCCTGAACTATTACTTTACGATGTCATTGCTTAATGTTTAATATATCCACATCTTCCATTCTTTAGCATGAAAAAGCTACATACACCTGTTGTTTTTTTATAAAAAGTCAACTCAAACAGAAAATTAATCTAAACATATTTCAAAGAGCAGTCAGTGATACCCACACCACGCATTGTGCTTCAGCACCACTTGTAATGTATATTAGCCCGCTAGCTGTAATAACTATTCACCACACCACAAGGGGTGGTCACATGNATATGTTTTTATTCTAAAAGGAAAATATCAAAGAGTTACAATTCTTCTAAATGCTGTTTATAATTAGGAATATAAGGAATTATTGTAATAATAGTTTAACCCGTCCAAGATAGACAGATAGGTGCGGTTGTTGATGGAGAATAACACTTACGTTTTAATCATAGCGATCCCCCCTCTCGGTGAAGTGAAACTTATCCCATAACCTAATAACTTAGTACATACATTTACCTTCTGCCCATAGCAGAACAAACAAAATAGCTCAAACTCCAATGCCAAAAAGTGACACTTTAGTTGTCTAAAGGCTAAACTAACCTTCTGAAAATTATGTTACTTTTTATTTTCCAAAGACTCCGATTTCAAATAGTTAATGTTGATAATCCTATTCGTGATATTTAATTTTTTGTTGTTGCAGTAATTTAGCATAATAATGTAGTTCTTTGTAGCCCAGTTTTTACCTGTATACGTTTGTCTCGCATCCCTTCCCATGAAACCCTCTCATCGTACCATGGATCATGGTTGGTACCTATAAAAAACGGCTCCCAAGCCACAAAAGTTTTCGTTCGTGTTACGCTTTCAGTAATTTCCATTTCCTCACTATCAATACTCAACCAGGATTCAAAATGCGGAAAATTGTGACATTTGCCGCATACTTTAAAGTGAAATCGCTCTGCAGTTTTATTATGTATCATTTCTCTCAGTTCGCTTTTGTTTAGGGGTGGTTTCACCCCTTCGTTTACCTCGAAAGCATGAATGGCGTAAACAACTGGCTGTTTCGAATAGGTCTCAGGATCTTCTTTCGATATCATGTGAAGAAATCGTGACGAAATGTTTAAACTGGGATACATTTCTATATCCGCGGAAAGTATAAAATGTGTTTCAGACATTTTCCGTGCTATATTACGCGCTACGTTTACCATAAAAAGTTCGTTGTGTTTGTCTTTGAACGACTGACCGCTTGAATATGTCTCATATGGAGGCTTCAGGGAGCAATTAACAGCTTTTCCAGATGAAAATTTTTCATTTGCCAAATTCTGTAAAAATGAGGAGAGAATAAATATAATGCTTAGTTTATGATTCAAATGTAAGATTCATAAACAAAATTAAACCGATATGATAAATATTTAAGTAATCCTAAATTTTCTTTCCTTATTAGTTTTCGATTTTAAATACTATGTATCCAGCTAAATACCTTTGGACAGAGATTATAATCACTATTACTTATTTTTCTTAGAATACTACGCGACATTTTGAAAGGTTTCTGTTCTTTTTGTCCTGCTTTTAAAAATAGAATAAAATACCTCTACAGCATGTCGGAAAGAAAGGAAAAAGATAAATCTCCAGAAGTAAGCTCTTAATTCGGATGTTTACGGATGATGGTATTGAATTTCAAAGTTTTTCTTAAAATTAATGTGAAAAAACTAACCTTTTATTTAAGTTATTCTATAACACTACTGAATTTGGTATTTTTTATAGAAAATTAAATTCTTTGTGAGTGGGGGGGGGGGTTCTTAAAGAGAAACCGGACTAAGACAAGTCCCTAAAAGAGGGCAGCAGCAGCACTTTCACTACTCAGGGTGGCAGAGATCACGAGGATCGGTATGGCACTCTGATGCACAATACTGCGATGTGGAAGGCAACGGGAAACCACCACACTATGATTCCGAGTAAAACGTTCAACTACTGAAATTAAATGATGGCGTCCTCTGGGGTAAAGCACTCCGGACGTAAACTAGTCCCCCATTCGGATGTCCGGGCGGGGACTACCTCGGGGGATGTCATCAATAAGTGCAATAGGGATAGGTGCAATGTTTCACGAGTCGGAGCGT